ACCATGTTTTTTTTAAACTTACCGTATTAATCAAAGTATTCATTTGCTTGAAAAGAAAAAAAATTGGGCAAATGATCTAAACGGACATTTCTCAAAAGACTATGTACAATGTGCCATGAGCACATGAAAAAATGGTCAACATCACTAGTCATTAGTGATGCAGATCACTAGAAAACGCAAATCAAAACTAGAATGAGGCCAGGTGCAGTGGCTCATGCCTATAATCCCAGAACTTTGGGAGGCTGAGGCAGGTGGATCACCTTAGGTCAGGCATTCAACATCAGCCCGACCAACATGGTGAAACCCCGGGTCTCCTAAAAATACAAAAATTAGCTGGACATGGTGGTAGGTGCGTGTAATCCTAGCTATTCAGGAGGCTGAAGCAGGAGAGTCACTTGAACCCAGGAGGCAGAGGTTGCAGTGAGCTGAGATCGTGCCACTGCGCTCCAGCCTGGGCGACAGAGTGAGAGTCTGTCTCAAAAAAGAAAAAAAAAAAGAAAAAAAAAACTCGAATAAGATACAATTCACACCTGTTAGGATGACTAATAAAATTAAAATGGAAAATAACAAGTGTCTGTTTGGAGAGGATATGGAGAAATCAGAACCCTCATACATTGCTAGTAAGATGTTCAATGGTTATAGCCATTTGGGAAACTAGTCTGGCAGTTCCTCCAAAGGTTAAACATAGAGTAACCATGTGACCTAGCAATTCCACTCCTAGCTGTACAGCCAAGAGAAGTGAAAGTATATGCCCACACCAGATAATTTGCACGAATGTTCATAGCAGATTTATTCGTAATAGCCAAAAAGCAGAAGCAACTCAAATGTCCATCAATAGATGAATAAACAAAAGGTGGCATATCCAGGCAATGAACATTATTCAGCCCCCAAAAGCAATGAAACACTGGTCCATGCTGCAGTGTTGGTGAACCTTGGAAACATTATGCCAAGCCAAAGAAGCCAGACACAAAAGGCCACAAAATTATATGAGTCCATTTCTATGCCAGATTGGAACAGGCAAATCCATAGAAAGGAAGACAAATGGTTGCCAGGACTTAGGGGGAGAGGAGAATGAGGAGTTAGTGCTTAGGTGATACAGGGCTCCTGGTGGGGGTGATAAAAACGTTCTGGAATGAGATCGTGGTGATGGTTACTTAACTCTATGAATATTTTTTAAAGTACTGCATCGTACACTTTAAAATTTTTTGTAAAGGCAGAGTTTGCCATGTTGTCCAGGCTGGTCTCGAACTCCTGGACTCAAGTGATCCACCCATCATGGCCTCTCAAAGTGCTGGGATTACAGGCATGAGGCACCACGCCTGGCATGTATACTTTAAATCGGGAAACAGGGTGAAGGGTACATGGGACCTCCCTGCACTGTCTTTAGAACTTCCTGTGAATCTATCATAACTCAAAATAAAGACAAGCCAACAAAAAAAGGTGTCAGATGAACTGGGCTCATTCAGGTGTTGGCAGAATTCAGTTCCCTGGAGCTAGGCCCTCCTTTCACTTTCCAGCCATCAATGATGCCAAGAGCTCTTCCCATCATCTCTGCATCTTTCTGACTTCGGCTTCTGGCCTCGGCCAGTGAAGCTCTGCTTGTATGAGCTCTTCTCCCTATGTTAAGGTCAACCGATGAGTAGCCCGAATCACATCTGCAAAGTCCCTTTGGCCATGTAATGTAACATACTCACGGGAGTGACACGGGAATGAAGGTCATGGGGGCCGAAATTCTGCCTACCAGAAGTTGATTATTTCAAAGCTATTTGGGATGGAGAATCCCCAGGATCAGTGAGGAGGTGGATGTTGGGGAGGAGGAAGAGGAGATATCAAGGAGCTTTCCCAAGTTTGGGCCAACCGGGTGGGTGAAGGTGCCAGTCTCCGAGATGAGGGACGGGTGTGGGAAGAAGACGCGCTCCATTGTGACACGTGGAGTTTGAGGGGCCTATGTCTTCCTGGGGATTGTCCCCTAGGGGAAAGGTCTGGACAGCCATAAGAGGGACTGAGGTCACCCAGGACGAGGGTGGCGGGTGAAAAGGAGCTGCCGGGGCAGCGGGCCGCCGTGAACCCCTCCTGGGATCTTCCACCCCAAGCTCAGCCTGCGATTCTCTCCCTGGACCCCTTCTCCTTCCTCTCCAAAGCCCTCCCTGGAAGGAGCCCCGCATGCTGATCACAGCTGCCGCTAGGGGGCAGAGCCGTCTACATCAAAAGCCACCCTGCTCCAGCGTGCGCGTGCGGGGAGATGCGCGAGCCCGTGTGCACGCACGGCGGGGCCTCGCTTGACGCTGAGTCCCGCGAGCTAGGCTCGCCACCCCCACCCCATCCCCCTGCTGCTGGGAGCCCCAGGCAGTCCCCGGACAAGGGGTTCCAAAAGGTCCCCTCTGTTGGGGACTGGGAAGCAGGCCCTGCCCCAGTGCCCCCCAAAGCGCCCGCCCTCCCCTGGTGTGGCTGGAGAGGGGTCTGATCCGGTGGGGCTGAGCCCGGAACTGGGTCTCCTCCTCCGGGCCCGGGGTTGGGGCTGGGGGCGGTTACTGCCCCTCCCCACCTCAGCCCCGCACCCTCCACGCCGTGTCTCCGGCATCGAAATTCACAGCAAAATACACAACTAGTGAAGAACTGGGCTCGGGTCCCAGAAATAGGCTGCCCTTTCCAGAGGGTGACGGGAATATCCTCCCTGCTTCCCGTTGCCATGGTTTCCGCTCAACCACCAGGCAGCCTGTTGCGCGGCAGCCATTTGCCGCGACGGGATGCTGCTGCCGCTGGTGTGCAGCAGGCCGCCACGCGAGGAAGGGGACAGACTGCCCCGGAGACCCGCCCGCCACGGAGAAAAGGCCACGGATCTAAAGACATCGGAGGGCGGCTACGTGGGCCGGATGGACAAATGTTAGCGTCAGCACCTGTCTGCAGGGGCGCCCTTGGCCTGGGCGCTGGACCTAGGCCATCAGGACTGAAGAGCCTTCTTCTCTTCTGGCCAGAGAAAGAGCAAGGGGTGGCTTCCTGGCAGGTTCGGAGCTGGCACAGCACAACAGAGCCTAGAAAAATCACTAGCAGGGCTGAGCTCAGGGTTCCACAGCTGCAGGCTTCCTGTTGGACCCAGTCTGCTCAAGGACTCCCTCACAGCCCAGTGCTTTCTGTTCACCCCAGGGTGCTCCCCGCCCAACCTCCTAGCCTCAGTGAGTGGGAAATGTCTGTGCTGCCCACTTGTCCTCAAATGCCTGTCCTTGCTCAGCTGCTCCCTGCTCTGCCCCATCTGGAGGGGACAGGGTGAGGAGGCGCCCTGGAGGCCTGACCCCAGCTTGGGCAACACAGCCTAGTGGGGTGATCACACCTGGGCCTGCAGCCCCTCCAGCACTTCCTGGGGCTGTGCCGGCCATTCCAGACCATTCCTGTTGGTGGAACTCATGACAGGGCTTGTTTACGCCAGTCACTGTGTTCTGGCACCTCCCCCACCCCGATCATTAACTTTTCTGGTCCTTTTCAGTTATTAAAATTCAGCCCAGACTCACATCCCATGGGCCTCCCCTCCCCATCCTTGGGGCTGGAATGGACTGGAATGGAGAGGAGGTGGCCTGACCTCCCTTCCCTCCCTTCCCACCCTCCACCCCCCAGGCCGAGGCAGGCAGAACTTGTGCCAAGGTGAGGGGGTGAGAGGGGCCCCATCTTTGCCTGGACTTTTTGATGCCTGCCAATGGGATCGCCCTTTTCCGAGGGCGGACTCAGCCCCCTGGTTGCTAAGGCTAAAGACCCTTTGGGATTGGGAAGCCCTGTCCTCTCTGGGCCCCACCAGTGCCTACGGGACCCCCTCAGACCTCTGGCTCCCACACCTTGTGCCCCCGGAGCAGAAGGCAGCTAGGGTAAGAGTGCCTTCAGTCCTGCCAGGTTCAGCAAATGTCCTGCCTTCAGAAACCTCGGCGGGCAGACAGGCAGGTGCCTGCTCAGGAATACGGCATGCCCCCCATCCCCAGGGGGACATACCCAGCTCTCCCCACAGCCTCCGGGGACTGCGGGCTGTGTCCACAGCACTGGCAGGGCCTTATTTTCTCCCAACATTTTGGCATTTTATGGTTTAAAAACAAAGCATTCCCCTAAGGGCAGCCTGTTTCCACACCGGGCTTCTGTGGGAGTGAGTGAGGCTGCTCTCCTGAGGGAAGTGTGATTCTTGCCGGGGTCAGAGGCCAAGACGAGCCAGGAGGGCACTTACCCCTTTGGGACATCTTGCCCTTGTCCTTTCTGTTTTCTCTACTCAGGCCTCTCCCCTGAGCTGAGGAAACCAAGAGAATTCTTGTCCTTTTGGATAAAGACCCTTTCCTAAGATTATTTTTTCCTAGAAATAAGCATACCTTATTAAGATATTTTGGACTGGCTGGGCGCAGTGGCTCACGCCTCTAATCCCAGCACTCTGGGAGGCCAAGGCGGGGTGATCTCGAGGTCAGGAGTTCGAGAGCAGCCTGGCCAACATGGTGAAACCCCAACTCTACCAAAAATACAAAAAACTAGCCGGGCGCAGTTGGGCATGCCTGTAATCCTAGCTACTCAGGAGGCTGAGGCAGGAGAATTGATTGAACCCGGGAGGTGGAGGTTGCAGTGAGCTGAGATCGTGCCACTGCACTCCAGCCTGGGTGACAGAGCGAGACTTCGTCTAAGGAAAAAAGAAAAAACAAAACATATTTTGGACTGATTTTGTGTGTCCTGATGCAGTTTTTCTTTGTGCATTAGACATAGTTAAACACACAGTGCAGCCAAGTGCAGGGCCACACTGCCTCGCTGCTCTCTTCCCTCACAGAGCCGGGCACGACAGCTGCGGCCACAGGGAGCAATTGCCTGGAGCCAGAGGGGGCAACATCAGCCCAAGGGCAAATGGGCAACCCTGTGCGAAAGGCTTCGGTAGCTAGACCATCTACTTTAGAAGAAAGGTGAAGAAAAAGCCCCCAGGAGAGGAAGCAGCCCCTAACCCAACTGACAAGCAATCCTTTCGCAGAGACAGAAGGGCCTTCAGTGAATTGGTTTCAAAGTGTTTGATTTCTTAGAATCAGAACAATTGATCATTAGAGAACTGATTAAGCTACAGCCGCTGTTGAATAAAAGGTAAAAATAAACTCCTTCATTTGAATTCCAAATTCAGGCTTGGAGGTGACCTAGCCATGAGGCAAACTGGCTGTGGGTGGACAGGGCTGCACACAGAGCCGGTGGGTGGACGTCACCTGAAGTCTTCTCTCCTCCCAAAGTGTGGGTGCTGGGACCCCAAGGGCGCAGTGTGAATTTTCCAGCACTTAACACCAGGATAGCCCAGGTATAGAGGCTGCTGAGGGGCTGATGCAGGTTCTCCAAGGGCCACTGCTGTGCCCAGAATGAGCCACTAGTTCCGGATCAGGAGGAGCAGGGGCCGAGGGGGGGTCCCAAAGGAGAGACTGGTTCAGGGTCAGCTGCAGTTTACCAACGGGTGCAGAGGTACTTTGACATTTTAGCCACAGGCACAGCCCTACCAGTGAGTACCAGCTGTTGTGACCGGAGATGGCAGGGGTCAGAGCCAGTCCTGGGACCCAATTTCTCCCCTCGTCCGTTACCTGGAGGGGTCACCAGGGCCTAATGAAGACTTTTGAGGTTTGTTAGCCACGAAAGAATTACGGTGCCTCTCCATATGGAATTCAGCAGAACTCTCACCTTTTAAAATGGTCTAGTAGACACTGAGTAGACACAAAAGGACATTTACAAAATATGTGTAAGTGTAAAAAACAATACAGCGAACTTCTGTGTACTCACCACCAGCTTAGAAGAAAGGTAACGTTCCCTTTGAAGGACCTTGAGTGACCCTTCTCTTCGCCCCATGTCCCCCACCCCCACTTCAGAGGTGACCACCTTCTTGAATTTTACATTTACCACTCGTGTGTTTCTTTACAGTTTCACCACCTTTGCATCCCCAAACGATATATTTTTTAGTTTTGCCTGTTTTGAATTTTATATAAATGGATTCATACTGTCTGTATTATTCTATAACCTGCCTTTCCACTGAATGCGGTATTCACTAGACTAAGAGCCATAATCCATTTTTCCCACAAGCATTCTGTTCTGTCGTGGGATTAAACTACAACTGATCTCTGTATCACCTGCTTGGTGGATGGGGGAATTGTTTCCACTTTTTGGGCTGTTACCAGAGTCCTGATGCCCAGCACAAGTTTCACTAGTGGGTATATCCAGGGGAAAATCCGTGGGCCACCAGAAATGTACACTTGCAACTTTGCTGGGCAATGACAAATTGTTTCCTCAAGTGGTTGTACCGATCCATACGCCCCCCCTGTAGCGTACAAGCTTTCTAGCGGTTTCACAGCCTTGCCAACACTTGATGTTGTCAGACCTTATTTTCCATATGGATAACCAGCATAATTTATTGAACATCTCCTTCCCTCACTGGCCAGCAATGCCAACTTTGTCATACATTAAGGTTTTTGTTTTTGTTGTTGTTTGTTTGTTTGTTTTGAGACAGGGTGTCACTCTGTCACCCAAGCTAGAGTGCAGTGGTGTGATCTCAGTTCACCACAGCCTCGACCTCCCGGGCTCAGGTGATCCTCCCACCTTAGTCCCCCGAGTAGCTGGGACTACAGGCGCCCACCACCATGCTCCGCCAATTTTTTGTAAGTTTTGTAGACACAGGGTCTCACCGTGTGTTGCCCAGGCTAGTCTCAAGCTCCTGGGCTCAAGTGATCCTCCTGCCTCAGCCTCGCAAAGTTCTGGGATTTCAGGCATGAGCCACTGTGCCCGGCCCGCACTATCTTAAATATGGCACCTTTATAATAATTTTTAGAATCTGCTGAGGCAACTCCACCCACCCCCTCCTTCTCTATGAGTGTCTTAGCTATGCCATTTGTTCTTCCATATAGATGTAAGAACCACCTTGTCAAGCTCCATTTACAAATGGCATTTAGATTACAATTACGTTCAATCTAAAACTTAAATTGGGAAGAACTGGCATGCTCAAAACCTTGATTTTTCAGAAAATCCTGGATATCCAAGGTAATGGCAGCCCCGTAAATCTGGAACTCTCAACAGAGCTTCCAAACCAAAATCATTTTTAAAAAGCAAGCACAAATAAAACTACCCAAAACTCATGTCCTCAGCATAATCAGAAGACAAAGAGCATTTGAACTTCAAAGTACCTAAAACAGATCAAGTCACAAGGATGGGGAAATAGATCCTCACAGGAAATACAAACGGAAACAAGTGAAGCAAACCATATATCAAACAACAACACAATCACCTTGAAAGAGAAAAAATCTCAGCAAGCAGCCTGAACGCGGTATGGGACTCTATGTCCTCAAGGGAAAGACAAAAAGGACTCTAGACAAACCTGGAAATCTACATAGTAGTTTTCTTCTTTGCAGAGACAAGAGTTGATGATTCTGAAACTACTTTCCAAGCATTCTAGGACTGAGCAAACACATAAATATATTGTGGATAATGGGAGCCAACTTTCTCAGCAAGAGGGAAAGAATTTATCAACCAAGAAGTAGGAGGAAGACTAAAATGGACCTGGTGCTGTTGGGTTGAAATTGGATGGGTCAGTATGGACTCATGGTAGATAGATACATAGACAAATGTGGGACTGTATATACATATATACACATATATGTATCTGCATATATGTATGTATTCTCTATGTGTGTGTAATTTCCCAGTAAGCTTCTAAGTGCCATTATCCACTCAAAATGAATCAGGGATCCTAGGAGAAATGGCTGATTCCAGAAAAGGAGACCAGGGAAAGTCAAGATGAGCCTAGACTACCCTGTTCTTCCAGAAAGTAAGAAACCCCCAAGTCCACACTGATAAAAAGAAATAAGTATAGTTGTACACTGAATAATGACATTTTGGTCAAAAACAAACTGCACATATGACAGTGGTCCCACAAGATTATTATACTGCATTTTTTTTTGAGATGGGGTCTCGCTCTGTTGCCCAGACTGGAGTGCAGTGGCATGACCTCAGCTCACTGCAGCCTAGACCTCCCAGGCTCCACCAATCCTCCCACATCAGCCTCCCTAGTAGCTGGCACCTGCCACCACGCCTGGCTATTTTTTAAACTTTTTTGTAGAGATGGAGTCTCGTTATGTTGGTCAGGCTGTTCTTGAACCTCTAGGATCAAGTGATCCTCCCGCCTCAGCCTCCCAAAGTGCTGAGGCTACAGGTGTGAGCCACTATGCCCAGCCTATAATACTGCATTTTGACTGGACCTTTTCTAGGTTTAGATACACAGATACTTACCACTGTGTTACAGTTGCCTACATTATCGTGCTGTACAGGTTTGTAGCCCAGGAGCAATAGGCCATACCATATAGCCTGGGAGTACAGTAAGCTACACCATCTAGGTTTGCGTATGTGCACTCTAGGATGCTCGAACAATGATGTAATCGCCTAACAACACTCTTCTCAGAACATAGCCCCATCATCAAGCAACACATGATGTAAAGGGGGAGAAGAGAAGCTCTTTCTCCCAGAACAAAGCCAAATAATAAATGAAGAAGGAATGATGGAAATAGGAAATCGCCATTTGGCAACTATTGTAGTAATGAGTTTCAAGCAAAAAATAATCAATGAATGAAAAACCTCGTGGGAACTGGACAGCAGAGACACCTGGAAGATGCCACCTTAACCACATGATCAAAGTGATCATCATCAGCAATGGGACAAGGGGACTGGCCATACACAGAGAGGGACACAGCACTTCTGAGCTATTGCCATGGAAAGTGCAAAACCTGGATGGAATCATGAAGAAACATCAGCCAAGCCCCAACACACAGAAGTGCTGCAAAATCACTGGCCCATTTGCTCCTGAAAACTGTCAAAAGCCACAAAGAACAAAGAGCTGGTCCAGACTTAAGGAGACTAAAGGGCTAGGTCAACTGCATAGAACGTGTGATCACAGGTGCTCCTTTTCTGGAAAGAACTTTATAGAAAAGATATTATTGGCACAATTAACAAACTCTAAGGTCTGTAGATTATAGTATTTTTTTTTGAGACAGAATCTTGCTCTGTCACCCAGGCTGGAGTGCAGTGGCATGATCACAGCTCACTGCAGTGACAACCTCCCAGGCTCAAGCAACCCTCCCACCTCAGCCTCCCCAGTAGCTGGGACCACAGGTGCACAACTACATGCCTGGCTGAATTTGTTTAACTTTTCGTAGAGATGGGGTCTCACGTATTACCCAGGGTGGAGTGCAGTGGCACGATCATGGCTCACTGCAGCTTCCACCTCCTGGGCTCGTGATCCTCCCGCCTCAGTCTCCACAGTAGCTGGGACCACAGGCATGCACCACCACACCTGGCTAAATTTTCTTGTATTTTTTTGTAGAAATGGGGTTTCACCATTTGCCCAGGCTGGTCTTGAGCTCCTGGGCTCAGGGATCTGCCCACCTTGGCCTCCCAAAGTCTAGGATTGCAGGTATGAGCCACCGTGCCTGGGAAACACTTGTTGGTGTCCGTCCTTTTGAATAGAGCCATCTTAGTGTGAAGTGGTATCTCATGTGGCTTTGATTTGCATTTCTCTAACGACTGGTGATGTTGAACATCTTTTCATGTGCTCATTCGCCTCTCCTATATCTTATTTGGAGAAATATCTATTCAAATCTTTCACTCACTTTAAAAATTGGGTCATTTGTCTTTTTATTGTGGGGTTTTGTGAGGTTCTTGATATATTCTAGATACAAGTCCCTTATCTGATATATAATTTGCAAATTTTCTATCTCATTCTGCAAGTTTTCTTTTAACTTTCTTTTTAGTAATATTTGCAGTGCAGAACTATTCAATTTTGATGAAGCCCAATTTATCTATTTTATCTTTTGTCACTTGGACTTTGGGTATCACGTTTAAGAAATTATTGCCTGATCTGAGGTCATGAAGATTTACACCTACGTTTTCTTCTAAGAGTTTCATAGTTTTGGGGCTCGCATTTGAGTCTTTAATACATTTTGAGTGAGTGTTTCTGTATGGTGTGAGGTTGGAGTTCAGCTTCATTCTTTGGCATGTAGACATTTAGTTTCCCTAGCACCATTTATTAAAGAGATGATTTTTTCTCCCATTGAATGGTCTTGGTGCGCCTGGCAAAAATCAATTGACCATTGATGTGTGGGTTTATTTCTGGCCTCTCAATTCTACTCCATTGATCTGTGAGCCTTTTCTTATGTCAATACCATGCAGTCTTGATTCCCGTAGGTTGTCCTAAAGTTTGTATTTGATAATTCCACTATGGGTCTACTTCTGCTGCTTCCATTCATATTGCCTTCACTCTTCATATGCCTAGTTATTTTTATTGTTTGCTGAACATTTCAATTGCAGACATTTTTATAGTGATAGCTTAAGGACTAGGGCGATGTCACCTTCCTGCAGAGAAGATGCCACTTGACTGTCCCAGCTTCTGAGGATGCCAGCAATCTAAGATTAGTTGCCCTAATCCAGTTTCTGGTATTGAGAGGCTAAAAAGCTAGCTAAAGTACTAGGAGACTCTTTCTATTGCTGGATCACCTTTACTCCTAGGGAACAGCCCTATAGGGTCCCCACCAAAATGAGAGAGATGCACCAGGGTGCTCCATGAGCAGGTCCTGGTTCCTGTGCCTGTCCTGCTAGCCCCAGGAGCCATCAAAAGCCCTGGACAGTTCGTACTCCCCTCGTTCTCAATCTCCAATCACGCTCAGGGTGTGAGCAGCTGCAAACACTGGCCTTGCCTCCCTAGCATCCTGCCCTGGAAGTTCTTCATCCTCTTTTTGCTCTATGATGCCTTCAAGCAGATGACTTTCATATTTTTCCGGTTTTATTAATTGCCCTCAGTAGGAGGGAGGCACCAATTCACTAATTTATCATGATCACAAGTGGAAGTCCTTCACTGAATTCTTAAATTCAATTACCTTATTTTCCACTTTTAAAAGTATAATTTGGTCCATTTTCAAATGTCCTTGGTTGTTTCATAGAACACTGCCTTTTTGATATTTTCAACCCCCTCTTCGATTTCTCTCAATGTATTAAACACGCTGACGTTATGCTCTGTAGCTGATGATCCCAGCTTTGGCTGTGGGAGCTGTGCTCTGCTGGCACTTACCCATGGAGTGGTTTCCTTTTTTACTCGTGTGTTTGGATTTTTTGACTGGATATTTTTCCTTCTCAGATCTCACAGTGGGAATGCCTTGAGACCTGGTTGAAGGTGGTTCCCTCCAGAGAGGATTTGCATTGCCTTCTGACAGTTTTCCGGGGCACTCTAACCCAGAACCTTTTTTTTTTTTTTGAGACAGGGTCTCACTCTGTCACCCAGGCTGGAATGCAATGTTGCGATCATGGCTCATTGCGACCTCCAACTCCTGAGCTCAAGCGATCCTCCTGCCTCAGTCTCCTGAGTAGCTGGGACCACAGATGCCACTATACCCAGCTATTTTTTTTTTTTTTTTTTTTTGTAGAGATGGGGGTCTGTCTATAGGCTGGTCTCGAACTCCTGAGCTCTAGTGATCCTCCCATCTTGGCCTCCCAAAGTGGAGGGATTACAGGCATGAGCCACCACACCTTGCCCAGAAGTATTTAAACTAAATTCTCAGTTTGAGGAGTTTATGGCCTATCTGGGTGTTGTAAATTCCAGCTGCAAAGCCACGTGGTGCTGGCTTGTGAGTACAAATACTCAAGAGGAGGTATTTTCCCCTCCCCCTCATGCCAGGCTTGGAAATGAGCAATTCTCCTTGAGGCCTGGTGATGAAGAGGTAGTGGTCGATATTTCCAGTTCATCCTGACGATGATGATAACACCTTTTATGGTCCCACCTTCATGCAGATGGCGGTAAGGGGGGTGGTTCCTTTTAGACTTCTCATTTTGCAAGTCTTGGGCCTTGTCTTCTGTCCCCACAATCCATGAGGCCATGAAAACTGAAGCCCAAAGTCACCAGGGTCTGCAAATGCCCATGGGTGACAGTTAGCCTCACTGTTCTGGTTACCTCTAGGAGTTCCTGCTTTGACTTAATTTTTGGACTCTGGGAATTCCTTACTTCTTTGCCATATCACTGGTGCATTAAAAAAAAATGATTTTAAGGCCAGGCACGGTGGCTGATGCCTATAATCCCAGCACTTTTGGAGGCCGAGGCAGGAGGATCACTTGAGCCCAGGAGTTCGAGACCAGCCTAGGCAACAGAGTGAGACCCCCGTCTCTATAAAACAATTAGCCAGGCGTGGTGGCACCTGTAGTCTCAGCTACTCGGAAGGCTGAGGTGGGAGAATGGCTTGAGCCCAGGAGGTCAAGGCTGCAGTGAGGCAAGATCATGCCACTGCACTCCACTCTGAGCAACGGAGCCAGACTCTGTCTCAAAAAACAGAGAGATGATTTTAAAATATTTTCTTTTCTTTAGCATATTTAGTTGTTTTCATCAGAAGGGTCATGCAGAGCACCTAGTTTATAATTGTAATGAAAACAGAAATCAGTTTTTACCTTTTGAAATGTCACAAAACTGACACGCATGCTCACATAAAAACAACTTCTTTCTTGGTTTTCTCATTGCGAAAAGCTGGATACACTCACCAAAGATGAATCTCTCTGTCTCTCTCTCTCGGTTTCTTGTTGAGGAGGTGGCCTCGTATTTTTCTTTCATAGATACTTTTGCAATAATAATTACACATTTACTTATTACGTGTGTCATTAAATGACTGTCCCCCCACTTGATAATAACAAGACCACATCTGTTTGGTTCTCTCTTCTATCAGTTAGGATGAGATTCAGGTACACAGATGACAAACCATATATATATATATATATATATATATATATATATATATATATGCATATGAATGGGGGAGAGGGAGGAAGGGAAGGAGTCCTACAGACCTAACAAGAATAGGTGATTATTTGTAATAGCAAAGTACTGGAAACGACGCCACCATCCATCAGCTGGGCTTGTTTGAACAAGCTGGGGCTGACCTGCGTGTTGGAATACTATGCAGCTAGAGTCAGCATGCTGCCCGGGGCGCCCCCAGCATACCAAGATACACCCAACAGTGAAGCACACAACAATATGCCATTTTTTTGTATAAAAATGTGGGGATATGAATGCACATACGTTGTTTAATGAAAAATGTTTTCCATAATATAAAAAATCGGAAAGAAAGATCACTGCCATCCCTAAGAATCAAAACAAACAGAAATAGATGAACCAAACAATATAAAAGTTGGCGGCATAATCATATGTAGAAGTATTTCAAGTGTCTTGAAAACACAGTATTTTGGTTGACTGGACGCGGGGCTCACACCTGTACTCCCAGCACTTTGGGAGGCCGAGGCGGGCAGATCACCTGAGGTCAGGAGTTCAAAACCAACCTGACCAACATGGTGAAACCCCATCTCTACTAAAATTACAAGAACTAGCTGGGCGTGGTGGTGCACGCCTGTAATCCCATTTACTCAGGACACTGAGACAGGAAAATTGCCTGAACCTGGGAGGCAGAAGTTGCAGTGAACCAAGATTGCACCACTGCACTCTAGCCTGGGCGACAGAGCAAGACTCTGTCTCAGAAAAAAAAAGAAAAAAGAAAGAAAAGAAAAAGAAAGAAAAGAAAAGAAAAGACGGAAAAAGCAGTATTTGTATTGTCCACACCTGGCGGGATACATGTGGTTTTTTTGAAACACGGTCTTGCTTTGTCACCCAGCCTGGAGTGCAGTGGTATGATTACAGCTCACTGTAGCCTTGACCTCCTGGGCTCAAGTGACCCTCTTACCTCAGCCTTCTGAGTAGCTGGGACTACAGGTGCACACCACCACACCCAGCTAATTTTTTAAAAATTTTTATAGAGATGGGGGTCTCACTCTGTTGCCCAGGCTGGTCTTGAACTCCCGGGCTCAAGTGATCCTTCTGCCTTGGCCTCCCAAAGTGCGAAGATTACAGGCATGAGCCACTGTGCCCTGCCCCTAATGGGATAAGGATGAAAAAAATTGCAAAGAAATCTGAAATGGTATTCAGTAATGCCTAAGTGTGGTCTCTCTGAATACATTTCCCCCTAAAAGGACCTGGGGTTCCTTGGAGTGATGTGTATATGCAGGTCTGGAGTGGAGAGTGGAGAAGATGAGACCAGGACATCCTGCTGGGACTGCAGCAAGGGACATGGAAGCCCCCTCCAAGGCACCCCCACTGGCCAACAGCACCAAGAGGAGGAAGGATGGCCATGGAATAAAGCATGTGACATATGCCAGAGTCAGAATAGGGATTCTTTGTTTTCTTTTGTTTTGTTGTGTTGTGTTTTGTTTTGTTTTGTTTCGTTTTTTGACAAAGTCTTGTTCTGTCACCCAGGCTGGAGTACAGTGGTGTGATCTCGGCTCACTGCAACCTCCACCTCCCAGGTTCAAGCAATTCTCCTGCCTCAGCCTCCCAAGTAGCTGGGACTATAGGCGTGCACCACCATGCCTGGCTAATTTTTTTTGTATTTTTAATGGAGACGGGGTTTCACCACGTTGGTCAGGCTGGTCTCGAACTCCTGACCTCAAATGATCTGCCCGCCTCGGCCTCCCAAAGTGCTGGGATCACAGGCATGAGCCACCGCACCCAGCCCAGAGTCAGAATATTCTTAACAATGGGTCACCTGCAGAAATTGTTGGGGACTGGCCTGTGACTCTGAAGGGTGATGTATAGAAAGAACACTCACATGGCTATCTGGCTTTTCCTGCCTCGCCTGTTTTTGTGTGTGTGTGTGTGTGTTTTTTTATTATACTTTAAGTTCTAGGGTACGTGTGCACCACATGCAGGTTTGTTACATATGTATACATGTGCCGTGTTGGTGTGCTGCACCCATTAACTCATCATTTACATTAGGTATATCTCCTAATGCTATCCCTCCCCCCTACTCCCTCCCCACAATAGGACCTGGTGTGTGATGCTCCCCTTCCTGTGTCCAAGTGATCTCATTGTTCAATTCCCACCTATGAGTGAGAACATGTGGTATTTGGTTTTCTGTTCTTGTGATAGTTTGCTGAGAATGATGGTTTCCAGCTGCATCCATGTCCCTACAAAGGACACGAACTCATCCTTTTTTATGGCTGCATAGTATTCCGCCTCACCTGTTTTTTATGGTGACCAGTCAATGAAGGAAAGCTCTTCTGTTACAGAATTCCAACTAGGAAATGCCGGAATAATTATAGAATCGAAAAATCACCATTTTCAACCCTAAATAATGGATCTAGGTGCTAAAAACACTGGGCAAAGGGATACTAGAGAATTCTATAAAGGCCAGATCAGGCTGACACCACTTGAATCTCCTGATCAGTCTTACCATCGTCAAGAGGTACATGAAAAGGGGCTCAGCATCACCAGCCATTAGGGAGACGCAAATCAAAACCACCGTGCAGTGCCATCACACACCTATCCCATGGCTGAACTAAACCACAGCAGATGTCGGAGTGGGTGTGGAGAAACCAGCGCTCACCCATTGCTGGTGGATATGACAAACCGGGCAGCCACTCGGGAAAACAGTTGGCAGTTTCTTACAAAAACACTCATCTATAAAGGGGTAGCCCAGGGGGTTTTGTGGTGAGGAAACCGTTCTGTAATTTGATTGCACTGAGTGTTACATGAATGTACACAGTGATGAAGTTGCATAGAGATGTACATACACGAGTGCACGCACACAGGAGACACCTGAGCATGGACATCACGTCCGGGTTCCGGTCGTGCCTCGGGTGTTCAAGTAGCCAATGTCAGAGGGACCTGTGGGGAGGGGCCACAGCTTCCCAGGCACTTCTCACCGAAGTCCTCGTGAATCTAACGGTTTAAAAAGAACAAGTTAAAAAATATTCCAGCAGAAAAAAAGAAAAGTATAAATGAAAAATATGGGCAAACTATTGATGCCAGTTGATGGATCCACAGGGTTTCATGAACTCTCTCTTTGTTTATGTTTGAACTTTTCCATGATAAACCATTTTCTTAAGAGTCACCACTAAACAAGTGTCTGTTGAATAAGTGAAGCATTCGTGAATAACTGCAGTCCAACTCTGTCCTTCCAGAGATAATGCGAGCAAGATCCCGCAAGGGGAGATGACTACTCAAGGTCACGTGGAACAGTCAAGGCTACTGAGATCCCGTCTAGCTCTTTCTTAATGTGTGTTTTTAACTTTATACAAGCAGTACATTATTTTTAAAGGAAAAGTGACCATAAACTGAGGGCTGCAACATAGGAGGGGGGAAGGGCAGAGGGAGACCCAGGATGCCAGCTTTGCCCAGGGGCAGGGGCAAGGCAGACAGCCTGGGGAGGTTAGAGGCTCTGCTGTGAAAGGGTTTCTGCAAGATGAAATCACTCGAACGCCGGCTGTGTTTGGACATCTTGAGAGAACATTTCCACACATGGATGGGGTCTAGGGTTGAGTTCGTGATACATGCAAACAGCAAACCCAAAGGACAATGATTAACTCCTGGGAAAACAAAATGCAGCTTGCATGGCCCCACCATGAGCGGCATTTATGTGGCCGCATAATTTCCAAGCATGGGGATAGGAAGGGGTAGAACAGCAAAGGTTTGGGGGATGGGACTCATGGAAGCCTTCGAGGAGGCCCCCAAGACGTGGGCGGACCCTTGTCTTGGCACACTCCTGCCCCCACATCCTTCGGGCCCCAGCACTCCCCGACACCACTGGACCCGCCGCCCCCACCACTCTGCTTCCTGCCAGCCTTCCAGATGGCCTGTCCTTGCCCCTGTGTTTGCTGTCTCCTGAGGTCAGCCCCTCTGCAAAGACACTGGCCTCTCCCCTCTGGCTAGGTTAGGTCAAGGACTTGGCCTCTCCAACGCCCACTCCTCTCATTCACAAACAGGGGCACCCTAGGCATCAACCTGTACCCGAGCTCAGCCACAGACACATCCGGGCCCCCAGAAGGGCCCTCAGCTCTCCAGAGCCAGAGCAGGCAAGGGTGACAGAGCGTGTGGCTTTGGCGGCTGGGCCAGGAGGAGGGAGGGGCCCCCACTGCAGGGCTTAGCCCTGTCACACTTCAGCAGAGAGCAGCTGCCCTGTCAGCATCCACGTGCTGCTGTCCTCAGAAATGGGGTGCCTGTCGGGGTGTGCTGGTCCTCAAAAGGTGTGTCCACGTTCTGGAGCCTGTGAGTGGGACCCTGTTAGGAAAGAGGGTATCTGCAGATGTGATGACAGTCAGGCTCTCGAGATAAGCTCAGTCTACATGATGGGGGGCAGGGGGTGCCAAATCTCATGACAGGCATCCTTCTGAGACACAGGAGAGACAGAGAGGAGAAGGCCATGTGGAGATGGAGGTGGAAATTGGGGTGATGCAGCCATGAGCCAAGGAAGCCTGGAGCCCCCAGGAGCTGGAAGAAGCAGGAAGGATCCCCCCGGAGACTCGGCCCTGCGCACGCCTAGATCTCACACTTCTGGCTTCCAGAGCGTGAGGGAATCGATTGCTGCTGTTTGAAGCCCCAGGGCCCATGGTCATTTCTTATGGCAACCATGGGACACTTGTTCGGTGAGAAAAAGCCCCTTGAAGCACATGAGTGGTGGGTGCCATGGATCAAGGGCCGCCAACAAGTCAAGCCCCAGGGCCACTGGCTGGGCAGACTGGACCCCACAGAACCAAGCCACATGGAACACCCCCTGTCCTGAAGAACAGGTCCCTGTCACAACTGGCTCAGGAGGAACTCACCGACTGCGAACACCAGGCCGGGCTGGGCCACTGAGAGGAAAGCTGGGGACACAGCCAAGGTTGGGGAGGGACAGGCAGACTGGAGCCCCCTCCAGCTACACCCTCTTGCTCACAGGACCGCGCCTCCTAGCCAGACTTCTGGAAAGCCTGGTCTCACTTGACAGTCACCCGCCCCAACCAGGTGTCACTCCCTTCTCCCTCACCCCCTTTAGACAGTTCCCTCTGTCTCCCATGACCCTCCTCCAGGGCCTGGTGCTTCAGCTCCATGACCTCTGGCTTCAAGTAAGGGGGAGGGGCAGGAGGGACTGGGATGGCCCAGAAGCCTGTTCTCAGAGGCTGGCACCGTGAGCAGGAGAAACAAAGGGCAAAGCCAGGAGACACCAAATGTAGGTTAACTGCAAGGAAGGAGGGAAGGGAAGGCCATGATGGAGACGTGGAGCCTGCAGACCATAGGCCAGAGGTTCCGTTGTGCAGACCCACCCCACTGAAGGCTGCAGGCTGGCCAGAACCCCAACGCCTCACAGGCCTAGGGAGCCCGGGCTCACCATGAAGCCCAGTAGCCACGGTTTCTGGGCCCCAGGGAGGTCTCATGGCTGCACAGGCACTGCCACCCAGGACCCCCCAGGTGCCACAGGACAAGAGGTTGGTGAGTCAGGAACCTGCCACAGCCATGCTCATGCTGAGGGGCTCAGAGGATGCCTGGGCCCAGGTGCACCCTGGCTTGGAATAAGCTGACCTTCATTCAGGTAACCTTCCGGCTCCCCAGCTAGGTTGTCAAACAGCCATTTGGTCGAGTCCACTCTTCTATCACCAGCACAGGTGCTTCAATATGTGTTGAATGAATGAATGAATATATGAACAGGTCCAGTATTTCCTGCAGGGAGCAGAGAGTGGTCTGGGCAGCCTCTGAAATGAACGACTGTTGCTGTGGCATGACTGGTGTACCCTCCCCTCTTTGAAGGGTAGATGGGGTACCTGGGGGAAAGAGCCTTCCACTCACTGCCCTGGAGCCATATCTCTTCCTCATGGTCGATCTTCTCACGCCAACCCTCCGGGCAATGGCCCAGAAGCCACTTGCAAAGCGGCCACTGCCCGGCAGGTCAAAAGTCCAGGGAGTGAGACAGCCCCTGGCAGAGCCAAGGGAGGAGAAAGAGCTGGAGTGTGAAGGTGGGTGAGGAGGGGCTGGGGAGGAAGAGTGGGGGTCTGGGAGTGGGGAGATCCCCTCTCCTCCCTGGGTCCTCGCCACCCCCTCCCAGTCTGGCTGGCCTGGCTGCTCCCCAGCTCCGGTCTCCCATTCTCCTCTTGTCCCAGGCTGGTCCACGAGGGGCAGGCGAGGTATCCGGGGCACAGGGGAGCAGGCGCTGTCCCACAGCTGTGGTCCTGCCCGCTGTGCTGGGGGCACCTGCCAGGCCAGAGGCAGCTCCCTCCTGGGGACAGGTCAGCAGCAGGTCCCCAGAGGCCCAGCAGGGAGGTCCAGGGTGAAGCCAAGGTGTCCATGGGAGGCAAGAGAGTCCCCCAGAGGACTGAGCCAGTGGGAGAAGACCAGGCCAAAGGGGGCTGTGGGCCACCTTCACGGCAGGGCAGGGGCCAAGGCGGCACCTCGCCCCAGGGCTAACTGTGGAGCTACATGGTCTGAAGGAGGTAGAAGGAGAGTGGGGGCGGCCCTCCTCTGCCTTGGGCTGGCTCAGCTGACCCAGCTGGCTGCGGGATCCTGGGGGCAGAGGCCTTTCCCACATGTGCATCTAGTTGAAAAAGGAGGTTCAATGAGTTGAAGCGTCCTGATCTGGAGGACAGAGACCTTAGGAATCTGCATTTACCAGATGCCAGTGTCCCCTTCATATACTGAGGGCTCAGCACTCCCATGTCCCAGCCTTGCCCACCCAGCCCTGGCTGCTGGGAGCTGAGCATGAGTTAGGAGCCCCTTCAGCCCCTGAGAAACCAGAGCTCAGGGATTTCTTTTCTTCAGAGACCCTGGGCCCTGGCCAGGAGCACTTAGCCCGCAGCAAGGATCCCTCAGCAGGCCTGTGCTCCCAGGACGAAAGCTGTCCATCCGGGGCTTAGGGGAAGGGTGGAGACACTGCTCAGGGAACCTCCGGCTGCAGGGAGCAGGGCCCCCAGGGGGCCTAGTGCAGGGACAGCTTCGGAGCCCCTTTTCCTGAGCAGAGGCAGGGAGGTGCCCAGTGGCCTTCGGCTGTGTGGCCTGGTGCCCAAGCTTGTCCCTTCACCAGGGCGCTGTGGCTGGGGCCTGGGCTGTTGACACGTTGTGGGGTGACTGGTTGGTGCCCCCACCGAAAGATACATCCACATCTTAACACCCGGGCCCTGTGATCAGGGCCTTATATGCAAAAAAAGGGTGTCTGCAGATGTCATTAAATTGAGGATGTGGAGATGAGAGCAACCTAGAGGATCCAGAGGGCCCCAAATCCAAGGATAGTTTCCTTAGAAGAGACAGGAGACACAGAGAAGACCATGTGGAGGCAAAGGTGGGGAGTGCCCGGGGCCCCCAGAAGCTGGAAGAGGTGGGAGGATCCTCCCCCAGAGCCACCGGAGGAAGCGCCCAATTCTGGATTCCGGCCTCCAAAACTGGGAGAGTCAATTCCTGTTGGCTGAAGCCACACGGTTTGTGGTCATTTGCTGCGGCAGCCCAGGCCACTCCGACACTAGGGAATGGGCTGAGTCCAGAGTCTTCCTGGGCCGTGGAGGCGGGGGGGTGGGGAGACCTTTGCACCTGCATCGTCCAGTAACCTGATGGGGGCTGGGGCGACCTTGGGAAGGCAGCTCCTGTTGTCCTTGGCTCATTTCCAGAGAGCGTGAGCGGCCAACCTGCATGGAGGCTGGGGAGTGAGCCCCTTAGGCCGGGGGCCCCTGGGAGTGCACCCCACTTCCACTGCAGGAGGAAGAGTCATGTGCACTGGGCTGTGGGTCCCACACAAGCCTAGAAATAGGGGAGCAGGGGCTGCCGTGTGCACCATTGTTGGCACTGCGTGTGTGGACACATTGGTGGTGGAGGCGGCACTGCGGTCAGCCGAAGAGCGCGACGCCTAGAGCAAGTGAAGACGACCTTGACAAGTCCGTGATCCTGTCAGGAGATCAATCTCCCTTCCAGCATGTTTTCAGTTTTTTACTGTAAAGAATTGCAAACACACGCCCAACCTCCAGAGGATGACAGGGCACACCGGCCCCGCCGGCGGTCCTCACACGGCCCTCTCTCCTCTCCACTCCCCTTACTGTGGCCCCAAGGCCTGGGGCCTCCTGAGAGAGGCATCTCCATCTGCCTTAAGTAGGGACAGGGCCTCCCAGGCAGCAAACCCGGATTCAAAACCTGGACGCTTGTCTACACCAGCCAGGGCTGGAGGTTGGCCCTCTCAGCCTGGGGACTCACAGGGGTGCCCCAAACTCCAAGAATCAGCCCCCTAGACCTCCACCGGGTCGGGTCAAAGTCAGTATGGGTGGGAGGTATTCTCAAGATCGCCATGCAGGAAGTAGGGTCCCGGAGAGAGGACAGGCCCAGACAGCCATCGCCGCAGGCATCTGCCCACATGGAAAGCAAGGCGGTAAGCAGAGGCGATGGAATGTGTGTCAACACCGTGCAAAGGGCCAATGTGGCCGGGGCTGGGGCAGAGAGGGCGGCAGCCGGGGGCCTCAAGGGGCGGGCAAGAGGCCCGGGAAGCTGGGACTGCCAGGAAGTAAGCCAGCTGCTCAGCCTGGGGCGCCCTCCCCGAGGCCTGCCTGCTCCCTACCAGCCAGACTTCTAGCCAAGCTCCAGACCCAGGAACCCAGCTGCCCACCTAGCATCTCATGGGGGTGGCCTTGCACACCATGCACCTCCACCCAAGTGTATATGCCAAGCACTTGAGCAATTTCTAATGCCAGGCTCCCCTGCCCCACCACATCTATAGTGGCTCCAGCTGCGGTTGCCTCTTCTCTTCACACCCCTCCCGGGAGCACACACGCGGGCATGCAGGCTGTTCCGAGGGATTCTGGAAGGCTCTGGTCCTTTCTCCTTCAGCAACCCCCTAAGGGGCTGGGTGAGGGGTGAGCAGCCAACACACATACATGCATACACACACACACACACACACACACACACACACACACACAGGTCTCTGCATTTCATGTACATGTGAAAATCGTTTGCTCCCCAATGCAGGTAACATGGGAGGCTGGGCCCTGCAGCTCTGAGGCTCTCTACACAAACAGATCCTGAGACAGGACAGCCTCAAGGGGCCTGTCAGCCTGTGGCCAAGTCAGACAGTCGCGTCCTGTTTGCCCTGGGAGGTGACTGGTCCAGAGGTGGGCCTCCCCGTGAGGACTCAACTGGTAGGGCCAGCAACGGGCACTGAATGCTTGTAGGCCCAGTTGTGGGCCAGGGGACCTCCCTCCCTCCCCCAGCAGGCTCCTCTCACTCACACTCTGGAAGGTACAGAGGGCCAGGAGCAGGGGGGAGGGGCAAGGGAAGGGATTAGTCCCAGGCAGCCAGCTAAAGAGGGGTCCAGGAGCAAGGCGGCACTGAGGGGCGCCTCCAAGGGCCAGCAGCATCAGGCTGACAAGGAAGCATACATGGGCACACATTCGGAACACGCGGGAGTGCCTGCCTGTGTGCCTGCAGGCAGGAGTGTGCAGGAGGCCATGTGAGAGCCTGGGGAGGGCTGCGCCAGTGAACAAGGCAGGCTTGTGTGTGTGTGTGTGTGTGTGTGTGTGTGTGTGTGTGTGCACGTGTGTCTATCTGCCTACCTGTGCATGTCTGTGTCTGTGTACACACGTGAGTGCATTTGTGCATGACCCAGGGGAGCAAGTGCGCTCTGCCTCAGGGACTCCAGGAGCCGAGCTGGCATTCAGGAAGCATCTTTAGGCTCTTGAACAAAAGGGCAGCCTCTGCTGTCTCCCTCCCCACAGCTCCCTCTTCTGATGCGGCAGCCGTGTGGCACATCCAGGCTCTTCGGCTTTCAGTCTCATTTTTATCCTGAATATCTACACACTTGCGTGCACACGCACGTGAGCACACGCACAGACGCCCTGTGGTACAGTACACTCCAGGAATACTATGGACCCTCTTTCTTTCTTTCTTTTGAGATGAAGTCTTGCTGTTGTCGCCCAGGCTGGAGTGCAATGACGCGATCTCGGCTCACTGCAACCTCCGCCTCCGAGGTTCAATCAATTATCCTGACTCAGCCTCCTGCGTAGCTGGGATCACAGGCGTGCACCACTACACCTGGCTAATTTTTGTATTTTTAATAGAGACGGGGTTTTACCATGTTGGCCAGGCTTCTCTCGAACTCCTGACCTCAACTGATCCAGCCGCCTCAGCCTCCCAAAGTGCTGGGACTATAGGCAAGAGCCACCGCGCCCAGCCTACGGACCCTCTTTCTAGGTCCCTGAGCAGGGGAAGCATTTCCGTGCCTCCATGCTCTTGCCCATGCTGCGCCCCCAGCCTGCTATGACTTGCTTTCCAGAGCCACCTGGTGAACTCCTACTTTGAGTGGCAGCTCAGTGGCCTGCCTTCTTCCTCTGCAGAACCAGTGGCTTTCCCTGGTCCTGTCTTACCTGTGGGTCTTATGAGCTACTTGTTAAAAGTGGATCACTTGCTCCTGATACCTCAGCCACCATCCCAGTAACTATCCCAGACCTAGATTGTACCCAGAATCCAGCTGAATTGGTTCATCCATTCACTCCACAGGCACGGATTGGGAGCTTACTGCATCATTTTTCTCCCTAAAGATAAGCTCTTAGTTAACATCACCAACCATCAATTACTATACCAGAATACACACTCAGGAAAAACCATAATGTAGACCAGGATTTAAAGAAATGCCATTAACTAAGAAAAAACTAAGGACCTTGTTTCAATATCAGCCATGAGCTGCCACTGCTTGTTAAATATGAGTCTGTGTCAGAGGCAGAATTAACAATTCACCAAACACCTCCTTAAGGAGTTACAAGTTTCTTATCAAAACCTCCAGCCCCATTTGTGCTTCTGTTATATTGGCATTTCCAAATGGAAGAGAATGTTCACTGGTAGCTTTGTCCCTTTTCCATGGTGAGGGGCAGAGGGAGGTGCAGACTGTCCTTCCTCTTCCTCAGTCTGGGCCTAGAATAGCTAAAGAAAGCAAAACTACCTCCTCTGAGTTGAGTCTTTTTTCACTGAGACCCTCTTCTGTCGCCAGGCCTCAAATATCATGAAAACTGTAACTGGTTAAAAAAAAATCACCTGCATAAAAATCTTTAAAATTCATTTTAACAACAAAAGTATTTATGATAAAGGGTCATTCCACCAAGAAAACATAGCAATTTTAAATGCATATACACCAAACAACAGAGCTACAAAATATGTGAAGCAAAAACTAATAAAACTGGAGGGCTAGGTGCAGTGACTCATGCCTGTAACCCCAGCACTTTGGAAGACTGAGGCAGGCAGATTGCTTTGGCTTAGGAGTTCAAGACCAGCCTGGGCAACATGGCAAAACCCCATCTCTACAAAAAAAAAATATATATATAAAAACTAGCGAGTGTGGTGGTGTGTGCCTGTGGTCCCAGCTACTTGGGAGGCTGAAGTGGGAGGATCACCTGGGCCTGGGAGGTTGAAGCTGCAGTGAGCTGTGATTATCCTACTGCACTCCAGCCTGGGCAACAGAACCAGCTCCTGTCTCAACAACAAACAACTCTAACAAAACTGGAAGGGGAAATAGACAAATCCACAATTACAGTTGGAGATTTTAACACACTTCTCTCAAAAATTGACAAAACAACTAGACAGAAAATCAGCAAATTATAAAATAACTCAACATCACCATCTATATTGGGCACATCCCAATATAGATTATATCCCAGGCAAACCTCAATGAATTTAACAGAGCTAAAATCATACAGTGTGTTCTCTGACTACGATAGAATCAAATTCCAAATGAATCACAGAAAAATCTCCAAACACCAGGAAAGTAAGCAACATGCTTCTAAATAACCCATGGGTCCAAGAGGAAGTCTAAAGGAAAAACTTTTTTAAAAATACACCAAAATAGTCAAAAACAAAACTACAAAACAGGAAAATTTGTGGGGTGCAGCTAAAGCAGTGCCCAGGGGGACATTTATAGCACAAAAAGAAAGGCAATTGTTTCTCTCCCTAAAAAGTAATCAATTTCTCAGAGGCAGGTTGGTGCATGGGAGAGGGTTGACTTGAACAATATCTGGAGAGCCCAAAGCTTTCAAAAAACATTACAACTTGAATATATTGGGAAGCTGGAAGATGTTAGAGCACTTACATTTACTTTCCTGGATCCAGACTTCACATTGAAGAGTTGAATTGAACTCTGGGTCTACCTCCACCTGGCTGAATTAGTCTGAACAAGTCATTCAGATGTTCAGAGTCTTCATTTCCTCATCTGTGAAATGCTAAGGCCCTCAACTTCACAGGGATCTTTTCGAGTTAAACGTTAGAGCACTTAAGAAAACTTCCTGAAACTCCCGAAGCATTGCATTCATTTGCTAGAGCTGCTGTCACAAAATCCTGCACATGGTGTGTGTGAAAATTGCACACATTTATTCTCTCCCAGCTCTGCAGGCCAGAAGTTCAAGATCAGGGTTTGGGCAGGGCTGTGGTCCCTCCGAAGGCTGGAGGGAAAGGTCCGTCCCAGGCCTCTCTCGTGGCTTCTGTCAGGTTGTGGCTAATCTTCGGTGTTCTCTGGCTTGTGGATCTCTGCCTCCACAGCAAGTTCTATGCTAAACTATACTAAGGCTCTACTAGAAAATGTTAGCCTTGTCTCTATTGGACCCTGTGAGATATATATATATACACACACACACACACACACGCACACATACACACATATATAGCTCAACCTTGGTTGCGTCCTGGCCAGTCGGCCTACGTGGCTGAGAGGCATTCTGCTGTCCCTGTTCCTGTGAAGGTATATATGCACAGCTATGCGTGGACGCAGTGTGGCTGCTCCGGCTCTGGACAGGGCCAGCTTCGTCACTGCCTCCAGCCCCGTCTCATCCAGGGCATCTGCAGCCCTGGGAGCAGCCAGGCTCTCAGCGCACATCTCTGGGCCTGCCCAGGAGGATTCGGGCAGTTGCCGGAGCACCTGGTCCCTCACAGAGGCGCACTCTGCCCAAATCCCTCCTCCCAGATGACGAGCACTCACACAAGACTTCAGTTTCATCAGTAACGAAGGCCTGTAGCTGACTGGTCACAGAATTCGAGGCAGAGGTGTCCCAGGGACCACCATTGTGATGACATGGCAGCTGGCCCTCCTCCTGCCCCTGCCCCCACTTATTCCTCTAGCGCATGCCTAGCCAGTGCCTGGGGGGTAGCCAGCCCGCCTCGGGCCAGGCCAGCTGAGGGAGACTGGGAGGCCTGTGGCCAGCCTGGCCCTGGCAGCCACACTCTTTGCTCTCTGACATGGCGCACAGCCACCTGGAGCATCATGAAGCCATGAAGGGTGCCCGGGTGCCAGAAGAAGGGAGCAGGGCTAGGCCGGGACTGGGCTGGGAAGGCCGGAGGGGCCTCCGACAGAGGTCAGGGTGCATTTAGAGAAGGGGAATGGCAGAAACAAGGTACAGACAGCAGAAACAGGGACTCAGCGGGCTCCCTGGAGCGGAAATGGGGACAGGTGGGCAGGTGAGGGGCAGCGGGAGAAAAGGCTCAGTGCCCTCAAGTTTTGGGGCACACCAGTGCACAGGAGAAAGGGATTCCACAGCAGGCCCATGAGCCTCACCCAGGAATTCCCAGTCTTTCCAAGATGGGACAAGGCTACAGAAAGAACGGGGGCCACACGGTACACACCAAGATGAGGGTATGGGGAGCACCTGTGCAGGGAGGGGACTGTGGGGTGTGCCTCGAGTGCCACCTATGGGCATGGGCCTCTCTGGGCCCCAGTAACCTAGCCAGGCAGAGAACCGCCCCAGTTCGCCATGCTCCACTCAGAACTCGGTGCCCAGTGCAGTGGCTTGCACCTGCAATCCCAGCACTTTGGGAGGCCCAGGCAGGAGGATCGCTTGAGCCCAGGAGTTCCAGACCAGCCTAGACAACAAAGGAAGACCCTGTCTCTATGAAAAAAAAAAAAATTTGATTAGCTAGTGAGTGGTACGTACCTGTTATCCCAACTACTTGGAGGGCTGAGGTGGGAGGATCGCTTGAGCCCAGTGGGTTGAGGCTGCAGTGAACTGTGATTGATCCATTGCCTTCCAGCCTGGGTGACAGAGTGAGACCCTGTCTCAAAAATAAATAAATAAATAAATAATAACCCACCAGAAATCTGTGCCCAGGCCCAATGCCAGGCACACTGGTGCACAGAGGCATCTGCAGCGCCCATGCCCTCACCAGCCGGCTGATGCCACAGGGGAGGGAAGCAGGGCACCTGAGGGGCATGCCCAGCACTGTAGGGCCAACGGGAAGGAGGGGAGGACCCTGCACGCAGGGAACATGGTGCCAGGACACCAAGCCAAGAAGCGACCTGCTGAGGGGGGTAAGGACCATGCCCACTGCAGGCCAAGGGGTGCCTGGAGGGAGTGGGGCATCTTGCAAAGGCGGGAGGGCCCCTCTCAGGCCAGGACATGACATTAATGTGGGGTTCCGCATCTCCATCTCCCTCTCAGCGCACCCCACAGCCCATCAGAGGCCATGCCCAGCTGCTCCTCCAGGCCCCAAACCTCTCTCATCGTCATCTGTCATCGGCGGCATCCCCCTCCTCCCCGGATTCTGTGCTCATGGACAGATGCCCACTCTCTCCACCGAGAAAGCATTGGGAGAGCATGGCCGGGCTGGGGACAAGACCTGGAGGGGTTGATTTCTGCTTTGCGTGCTCACCCCCTCCCCTACTCCTTTGGGGGGCACCCCAACCCTGCCCATCTCCATCACAGGCACCCCCTCCCATGACTGTGCTATAGCCCGGCTCCCTCCTTCAGTGCAGGGTTGAGGGAGCGCAGGGAGCCAGGCAGTGGCCAGGAGCCCTGACCTACTCCCCACCCACTGCCCCATCCTACCTACAGACACAGCCACACAGGGCCACCAGAGCAGGGATCTCAGGCTCTTTAATTCCTTCCTTCCTGGTGTCTACACACATTGCTACAGCCCCATCCCAGAGCCAGGGCGGGGGCAAAGCCCTGGAGACAGA